ACTCCTATGGTTTCAAATTCTACATTTCAACTAACCTTTAAAAGTCAAGTTTAATGTCATAGCAAAGGAGAATATCTACAATTATCTGAAAAGGCTATTAAAATGGTTCTCCCTTTTCCAACTAGATATCTGTATGAGGCTGGATATTCTTCATATACTTCAACCCAACATCCTGTCACTATGGATTGAATGTATGAGAATGCAGGTATCTTCTTTTCAGACCTCAAAGAGATTTGATGTAAAGGAATGCTATTCATCCCACTATTTTGTTTTGGGAATTATAACTACTTTCCTTAAAAAAATGTTAACATGTAATGGGCTTATTACTATTTTAAAGTGAATGATAAAAGATTTTTAAATGCTCTCAGTTCGAATTTTGCATATGGTAAATACCGATTGATAAAATCTATTGAGCAAAAGCTCTTTGGGGTTTACCATAATTTATCTTTAAGATTTATTTATTTATTCTGGAGAGAGAGAGAGAGAGCGTGCGCGAGCAAGCAGGGGGAGGGCCAGAGGGAGAGAGAGAATCCCAGAGCAGACTCCCCACTGAGCATGGAGCCGTACATGGAGCTCAACGTGGGGCTTGATCCCAGAACCCCAAGGTGCCCCAAGGTGTACCATAATTTTTAAGAGTGTAAAGGGGTCCTGAGAACAAAGGGCTTGAGAATCGCTGGACCACATGATGACACCCAGACTGATGAGCCACATGTTTGGGACTTTCCACCATCCCACTCCATCCTGTCTCTGTAGGCTCACTTAATATCACCATCTCTGAAGTACCCCCAGGTCCCAGCCTAACCACCTTACTGATTTCTGCACATGTTCTGGACTTTTCGACCTAACTTTGTGCATACCATTCCTTTACCTGGAACATGTGCTTGTCTGGTGGTTAGAGGGTCAGGGCTATCATCTTAGCATGAAGGCCTGAGAATGCAGAAACTCACTGAGACCCAACTTCACAGTTTGTTTATAGGTATATTCTGCGTATTATTTTCCTTCATTAGGATTCCTGGAGTCCCAAGGACCCAATTTTCCCTTTGTGTGTATACACACACACACACACACACACACACACACACACATGCATATGTGTATGTATATACATATACATACATTCACACCATATACACCATATATATATATTTTACCATCTAAGGGCCAAGTGTCCTGCCATAAACTTACGGGATTTTTGTAAATATTAGCTGACAATTTCAAGTGATATCTGTGGGATTTTATGACCCAGTGCAGATTAATCAGAGTATTTAGTGCCTGCTGTGAGCAGAACACTTGGCAGTGGGGGCAGGGGGCTAAGGAGGTGATCCTTGCTTAAGGACCTGCACCATGGTTGGAGACACAGGATTCATAGCCAAGGAGCCATTAAATAGGACACAAGAAGGTATGTAATCAAAGGGATAACCAGGTGCTGTAGGTCTTTAGGGATGGGGAGGTGGAAGCAGGGGTGGGTGCACGTGTGTTTACAGTGGCTGGAAGAATCAAAGAAGGCTTCTGGGAGGAGGCAGGGACTTGCTGGGAACTGGTTAAGTAGGCAGGGTTTAGTTAGAGGTCAGCAAGGCAGGATTTCAGGTCAGCGAATAAACATGAGGCAGAGCAGAGAGTCAGAAATGAGCACAGCATGTTCACGGCCTAATGAGACTGCTGACCACGGTGAAGGTGAATGGTGCGAGGTGATAAGGTTGAAAGCTAGTCAGAGGATTTTAGCTTGGACATGGAAGGAGGGAGGAACAAGCTTTTTTTGGTTAGGGAAGTGGCATCGTGTTTTTTTGAGCACAGGATGGTTATTACCGAAGGAGGAATGGAGGTAGGGCATTTAGTTAGTGATCTAGGAGTGTGAAGTGGCAAGGCTCTGGACTGGGGTATGAGCAAGGTTTTTTAAAAAGTGAAACACATGCGGGGAGCCACTTCCAGAATGCCTGCTCAGTGCCTTTAAATGGGAGTGTTTTATATATGAAGGCATGGGGATTAAAGCCCCACAATGCGTGTTCCTGACATAATTGGGTCTTATCACATGTGGCTGATCTGGAGCTGAAATCTTTTATTCTAGCCTTTCTCGGGTCTTACCGTCTCAGCGACTAAATAATCGTGTGGTTTTGGGCAAGTCCTTTAACTCCTTGGTGTCTTCGTTTTTTTCACCTGTAAAATGAGGGTGTTAATAGGCCCTGTCTCCTGGGTTTGTTATGAGAATTACATGAGTTCATACATGTAAAGTGGCTATACTGGGGCCTGGGACATAGAAAACCTTTAAAAAATATTAGCTATTATTTATTTATTCATCATTCACATTAGCATGGGAATATAAATATTTAAATTACCCAGTGGGCCAAAGCATTCAGAGCTGTGCTGAATCAAGTGTGCCCCCCCCCACCTAAAAAAAAAAAAGCTGGCTAGAGACATTGTGAAGATGGGACTCAGAAGCTAGGACGGAACAATGTTAAAAATTCTAATTCCACCAACTCCTTAAGATCTAAAGTTTAAAACCTGGAGACCCAGCTCCCAATGCAGAGAAGATAAATCTGGATTTCTTAGCGAGCCAGCAAGGCTTCTTGACTGGCTTTGTGTAGTTCCAGCCTCCTTCCTCCTGCAGCCTGGGAGGCCTGCCCCTCAATCCCACACTCCTGCTTCTTTTCAAACACATCCCATCCTGCACTTCAGTCTCCCCCGCCTTCACTCTTTCCCCAAAAGCTCATTCCTCTTAGTCCACTTATGCCCAATAAAATTAGTCACCTGTTTTTAATAGGCTTTATTTTTTAAGAGCAGTTTTAGGTTTACAGAAAAATTGCAGAGAGTGCAGAGTTCTCATATACTCCCTCCCCCAACTGTTTCTCCTATTAGTAACATCTTGGATGAGTGTGGTACATTTGTTACAACTGATGAGCCAATATTGATACATTGTTATAAGTACATTGTTATATAAGTCCATAATCTACATTAGGGTTTACTCTTTGTGTTGTACATTCTATGGGTTCTGACAAAGGCATAGTGTACTCTATTCATTACAGTATCATACAGAATAGCTTCGATGCCCTAAAATTGCCCTGTGCTCCATCAGTTCACCCCTCCCCTTTCCTCCCCTCATCAATTTTTAAGAATCAGAATGCCATGTCTTCTGTGAAAACATCTCAAATGAATCTCTTTGATGCTTGCATAGCTTCACACCTATTATAGCTCCTATGTTCCACATAGGATTCTAGATGGACACATGCTCTTCTTCCTTCACTAGGGTTGTATCTCCACGAAGGAGAGAAGGTGCCGTGGATTTGGCCTGACAACACCTAGCCTAGATCCTGCTCTTAACAGGTGCCTTATACACGCTGGCTGACCTGAATTGTGAGCAAATATTAGGGTGGGATTTTGCAGAATAGAGACAAAGATTTAGACCTTGAAGTCTGAAAGTGACAGGTAAATGTGTGAATTTGATACTTGTGTCAGCACTCAAGGTCTGCGGATGGGGAAGTTCTTTGAAGGCAACCATCTTCTGTCCCTTCAGATTTGGGCTCAGGAGCAGCCTTAGGTGAAGTAGTCCCGGCCGGCTTTATATTACTGCTAGGCCACAGAGCTCTTCCCCTGCCTCTCCACCTTTCCAAAAAGAAAAAATGAAACAACAACAATAACAACAAAAGAGGAGATGGGGACAAGGAGCCTGATTGTTCTCATCCTTCCAGTGTCCGTGCCCCTCTCAGGAAGGCCCCTGGAAAGCCTTATGTTTGGTCCCCACTCTCTCTTCCCAGGTGGGCCCCAACGGATGCCCAGCGTGTTTTCTTTGGCCAAGGAGCACCTTTCCATAAACGCTTATTTTCTTAAGTCACGCTGAGATTTTTGCTTTAAAGACACTGTTCTCAAACGTTCTAAAATGCTGTAGGAACATGCAGATCGGAACAAAAGCAAATAAATCGAATCTTGTGAAGTAAAGCAGAAGCCTTTCTCCAACAGCCAGCACAACGCTAAATGAGAAATATCAGTCATCCACTAGATACAGTATATTCCCCTCTAGACAGGAGCTGCCGTTTGCAGAAACCCCCACCCCAAATACGCGGCAGTGAAGGCACCATAGAAGGAACTACTCTCCTCAGCTGCCGCACGGCAGTCAGCAGTTTTAGCGCGCGACCTATTCCTTTAAGCAACACACGCTGTTTGAAAGACCTTGGCCTTTACTTCCTTGTACCTGCCTGCAAACACACGTGGTGGGGGGGGAGAGAGAAAGTCCCCCCCCTCACTCCCCGAATCTTTGAGCCCGCAGCAGCGCCAGACCCGGCACGGGTTAGTGGAAGACACTCTGGAAACCCGGTTAGATCCCAAGGTGCCGTTACCTGGGACAGTGAATGCTTTCGAGAGAGCAGGGCTCCCCCATCCCCCCGCAACCAGAAAAAGCCAGAGGAAAGGCGAGGGCAGTCTGCCCGGCCGAAGAGCTCGGAGGGAGCCTGGCAGAGCCCCTCCACCCCGAGACGACAGCCCTCTTGCACCTGTGCTCCCAGGGGGCGGGGCCTCCTCCAGGTGTGCGGAGGAGAAGGACGCGGAGAGCTGAGGCCAGCGTTGGAGCCGAAGCGTCGCACTCTCCCGCTCCGCATCCCCCGCCCATCCCCGCCCCGCTGAAATGGAGGGGAGGAGCGGTTAATCCGCACCCCGCGTCCGCGAGCTCCGCAGGCCCCGCCCGCCTCAGTCGGGCGAGAGCCGGGAGCACGCTGCGGCGCGCAGGGGGTTAAGCGGCAGCCGGCGGCCGGAGCGCGCTTAACCCTTTGGCGCCCGCGGGTCCTCCGAGCCAGGCGGGGTGGCGGTACCCCGAGTCCCACGCGGCGGCCACCCCGGGCGCGCGGGCCGAGCGGGAACAGCCCCGGGCCGGGCCCGGCCCCTGGGGCGCGGCGCGGCCCGTGGGAGGCTCGGCGGGCGGGGGGGAGGGAGGGGACGGCGGCGGCGGGCGCGCAGCGTCGCCAGGGCGAAGCCGGCGTGCGGCGCGGCGCGGCGGGCGCGGAGCGAGCGAGCGAGCGAGCGCCTCCGTCCCCGGATGTGAGCTCGGGGCGCCCGCGGTCCCGAGCCAGCGGCGGCGCGGGCGGCGGCGGCGGCGGCGGGCACTGGGCACCGCGGCGGGCGGGCGGGCGGGCATGGGGGGCGCTCCGAGCGGCCCCGGCGGCCGGGCCGGCATCTCCGCGGCGTCCCTCCGCTAGAGGAGGGGACCAAGCCAATTCTCCTTTGCAGCAAAAAATTGCATGTATATATTATTAAGATAATATATACATCTGATCTTATTTTTTAAAAAAAAGTTTATTTTGCTCCATTTTTGAAAAAGAGGGAGCGTGGGTGGCGAGCGGTTTTTACAAATTATTCTTATTTTCTGCTATCTGTCCCCGTCCCTCCCCACCCCCTGCTGAAGCGACAATAAGGGCAGGGACCGCGGCTCCTACCTATCGGTAACCCCCTTACCCGTTCCTTCCCCGCCCCAACGCCCAGCACCGTGCCCTGCACACAGTAGGCGCTCAATAAATGTTCGTGGATGATGATGATGATGATGATGAAAAACATGCACCATCAACGGCAGCAGCAAGCGGACCACGCGAACGGTGAGCAGCCAGAGCCTGGGCACCCGCTGCCAAATCTCATCCTTGTCATGGTCCTCCTCTTCCCACCCCCTCTTCCTTCCCACCCCCTCCCGTCTCTGATGCACTGGGTGGGTTGAGGGGGTTGGAGAGGATGCTTCTAGCTCGGTGCCATCTACATAGAAAGGGGAGATGCGTGACAGCCACTCCGTTCTCCCCTTCAGGCCTTGAATGTCAGAGTTAATTCTGCATTTGTGGGGTGGGGGCGGCCGTGGAGTCCTTGGAGTACTGTGCCGCCGGAGGGGCGGCGAGCCGAGGTGATGCGGGTTCAGTGTCCTCGGGCTCAACTTTCCTCCAACGCTCCCGAGCGATGGAAGGGGGGATGGCTGTTAGTCCTCAGCCTGAGCCCCCTTTCCAGCCTCTTCTCGCCTTCCCCTCCTTCCCCGCCCCCTGGTCTCCAGTGGCATCCGGAAAATTCTAGGATTGCCCGGTTTCCCTCTTCGCGACGGTGGGTGAAGCACACCCCGCCCCTGGAGAGGGAGGCCGGGTCTCGGAATTGCTGCCAGGGGGTCGGGTGGAGCGTATTCCCGCTCGCAGCGCCGCTGTGCACACGTAGGTAACCTAGCAATGCCCGAGGAGTCGCTGCCACTGTGGGGCTCCTCTCCAGAGCCCGGCCTGGGCACCACGTGCAGCCACCACGCCGGCCGGGCTGGGTCGAGACCGAGGCTGGAACAGCTTCTGGTCAGCCCTCCTACCTCCTCCTTGGAGGCCAGGGGCGCCCCAACCCCCCAACCTCAGTGGGCTCACAGCCTTCCCGCGAGAGCGCTTCCCAAGGGAAGGCTCTGCACGATTCCTCCCCAGCTTGGGAGGGCTGCTGCCTGAGGCACCCCCCCGCCGTGGCCCCCTTCTCAAGTTGCTGGGCAGGCCGACCTGTGCTTGCTTGGATTCTCTCTTGTTCTTAGCAAGAATTGGTTTTGGAAATGCCATCCCTCTACCTTTGCCACCACTCTCACTTTGACTTCTGTCTCAGTAAGGAGGTTGTGACTCAAGGTAGGCAAGTGCCTGGGAGACCTGCCTGGGTGGTGGCCTGACCCAAAGTCAGAAGGGGCTTTGCACATGGAGCCCCCTTGGGGTTCTGCCCTGTACTTAGATGCCAGCCTGCACTTAGGTGATTCCTGCGTGGACCTTGAGGGCCCCTGGCATAATCCATCCTGTCTTTCCTAGGTGTAGGGGTGCAGGCTGTCTGCCTTGACGGTTTCTCTGCATGCTGGCTTGGCTGCTGCGGCTGCAATTTAAAATGCAAAAAAGCCCTAAAGATGTTTTCTGTTTTCGGAAGCCTGTGGAGGAAATGAGTCCCAAGCATCATGAATTTTCATTTGCAGGAAGTGTCAGTGCATAATCTAGATATTTGTTATGGGGCTTTTGGTATTGCCCTGGTGCCAGTGGAGGATTTTTTTTTTCCCTATGCTGAAAAAAATGCATTTGTGGCTGTACAAAGATGTTGGAGTGACATCCTGAAAATGATTAAGACTATTGAGTTATTGGCACTGCGTTTTTTTTTTTTTTTTTCTGGTGGTGATCGTGGTAGTTATTTTGGAGAAAAGCTATTGTGCCTATCTATTAACTCATTAGAGATCCATGGGTTTTAAGTCAGAATAGATGGAATAAATGTGGACGGCCTCAGTTTGAAAAAAGGCACTAGCAGAGTCCTTGTGGAGACGTGGATGTACAGAGGCGCTCAACCCATTGCACCAGTGGTCCTGTGGTGCTCTAGCAGAGTCCCTGTGGAGACGTGGATGTACAGAGGCGCTCACCCCATTGCACCAGTGGTCCTGTGGTGCTCGGCCCGGCACGTGGCTTCTCTTCTTGCTCTGGTTGACCACAGTCCTGCTTCTGAAAAATAGGACATGAGGTTCCAAATGGAAACATGGGAACCATACCCTCCCCCTGTTATTGATGGAAGACACCTTTGCTTTTTTTCTGGCATTGGATTCTCATTGTTTATTTGTTTGTTCATTTTTCCTTTTCTCCTTCTTCCCAGAGGCAAACTATGCAAGAGGCACCAGACTCCCTCTTTCTGGTGAAGGACCAACTTCTCAGCCGAATAGCTCCAAGCAAACCGTCCTGTCTTGGCAAGCTGCAATCGATGCTGCCAGACAGGCCAAGGCTGCCCAAACTATGAGCACCTCCGCACCCCCACCTGTGGGATCTCTCTCCCAAAGAAAACGTCAGCAATACGCCAAGAGCAAAAAACAGGGTAACTCGTCCAACAGCCGACCTGCCCGCGCCCTTTTCTGTTTGTCACTCAATAACCCCATCCGAAGAGCCTGCATTAGTATAGTGGAATGGAAGTATCCTTTTTTTGGGGGAAGTCTTTCTCATTTTCTCTTTTACCATCTGTTCTTTAAAGGATCTGCTTTCTGAAATGGCACAAAGTCGTAGCAGTCTGGAATGTGAGCATCAGAAAAGCTCTATGTAAAGGGTTTCATTGTATATACCTTCCTATCTCCTCAGGGTGCAGAGGGCTTGCTCTATGGGTATATTTAGCCATGTGTGTGTGTGTGTGTGTGTGTGTGTGTGTGTGTGTGTGTGTGTGTGGTGATAGAGGGAGGGGGTGACAGCCTGAGACTTCAAAGTGGTAATTAAATAGGGAACTGACCTTTGGTCATTTGGCACTAAATGGTTAGTTTAAACCCACCATTGCTTTTGGGGCTGTGATATGCATCGAACCTATTGCAAATGAGGTATGCTGATTGAAGACAAACAGACTGTGAGACTTCGCTAGAAATAAATACATTTTTGACCTTTAGTGGCATCTTCCCATTCTGATGTTTAAAATTTGTTTCTGAAACTCCCAACTACTGCTGAGGTTGCTTCCAGCTCTGACATTTGCTGATTCTGATTGTTCAGGTAGCTACAAATATGAACACTTGCTTCATAGGGAGGGATCAATTTGCTCATCAATGCTATGACTTCCTGGAATTTCCTTTTGACATGTTCCAAAAAAGCATTTGAAACGTGAGCGTGAGGGAGCGTGTGGAGGGAGAGGCTTGTGTGCGCCTCTCCTTCGTGAGCCCTTGTGAGTTAGAGAGCAGTCTGTCAGTGGGGGAATTTGCAGTTGCTGCCCTTATAAAACATTCTGTCTGTGTCCTTGGACTGGAGTTACATTTCTGGGTGTCTCCTTTGTATTTTTAAAACTGAACTCCAAATGCCCTAGGATGGTTGTTACATCCCAGATCTTGGAAAACTAGGGTGCTCGGCCTGCTCAACCCTTTCCCCAAATCTGGAGGCCAGTCTCCAATTGCTGCCACCCTTCAGAAAAGGTTGACTGAGGCCTCCTTTCTGAACAAATGGCTTTCTAATTAGTCAGATGATTCATTGGTCTGGGTAAAACAAAGCATTTCCTTTTCCCAGAAGTGTATTTGGGACTGACAGGAGCTTTAGAGTAGCTCCTGAGCATAGGAGGGTGTGTGAATGTCGGGCTTCCCCCATCATACCCAGGGTGAAGGGGCTCACAAGGGAGGATATTGGCCACCAGCTGGAAGGTGGAACTGTAACCCCCTTATAACCTGAGCGCCTAGTGAGGGTGCTCTTTGCAGGCCTTCTGCTGTAGCCGGCTGTTTCCTGTGCTCATGGACACAAGTTAAAATGAGGTAACTTTGCCTAGAAAGGTTTTGGAGAGGGCAGCCAAATGCAAAGGTAGGGTTTGAGGGGTTTTCATGTGCATCTCCTTTTTAGAACAGATGTCTCCTTTCTGGAGGGAGTTACAGTGTCTCTCACATGGCTGGGAGTGCATGGATACGTTTTCTGTGTAAGTTCTCTCTTATTCTGAGAATGAACGCTAGGGTCAGCCCGGAGGCCGCTGGGTGCATAGGGCGTGCCTCGGTGGCATCGCTGGAGTCGGAAGCATGTTTACACTCAGCCAGAAAGATCCCCTCCTGGCTTGACACGACTCCGGGTAAGCAGAGACCTCTCTGGGGCCATTCATTCCATGTAGAGTGAGGTGGGAGGCCTGCCGCTGTTTCTCTTTGTGCATACTAATTTGCCTATCGCAATTTATGTGTGCAGAGTGAATTCTGGGATCATGCTGCTGACTCCCTTTCCCGCATGGCCAGACACATGTGTACAGGAACTAGGAGATATGGCTGCCTACAGATGGGACAGTCTATAGAGCAGATCTTTAAACAACATATGATCTGTTTGTCTTTCCCAGTGACAGTTCCCTTCTAGTTCAGGGAGCAGGTTATAGAAATTCTCCGAAAGCCAGCTGTGCCAGACCCAGTCCGCACTGGGAGAGTGAGATCCTCGCTGGTTTGTACACCCAGACAGGGCAAGAACGTCCTGCATCTTTGGGGAATGAGGAGTGCTGGCCTTATCAGGAGGAATTTTGGGGAGCAGGCCCATCTATTTTATCGCTCTGTTCTGCATGACTTGTAAATGTCTTGTGGCAGTGAGATAGTTATCCACCAACACCTGGCAGCTGAAGCCGGACCACCATCAAGAAAAAAAAAGTGTTTGGCTTTCCTAAACAGCATTGGTATTTCTTGGATTTGCTGGTCTATCATTTAGGTATTGGGAACTAAAAAGGAAGAATGGTGGTATGGGGGTGGGGGAGGACAGGAGAGACCACAGGTGTGTTTCTGTGTAGGCTAACACTGGGGCCACCGGTTTTTAAAATTTCAGGAGGAATGGCAAAAAAGAAAAACGGAAAGAGGATCCTGAAATCTTCTGAAGGGGAACTGTCTTAAGGTTGGATCCTTGGATAAGAGATTTTGTAATACTAGATGGGTTAAAAGAATAAATATGAGTGAAAGCTAATTGGCTTTAAAAAATAAACCCATCGAAATTAGTGAGAGAAGAATGTCATTCATGTCCTTATTTCAGTGAGTGTCAAAACACTTTTTAAGGGGCTGATTTTTCATAAAGACTCAGGGTATCCCAAGAGAGGTAGGGGGCCTTTGTTTCCTTCAGCACTTTTGGATTTCCCAGAAGAATATCAGGATGGAGGGAGAAGGGTCTGTTCACATCCTCAAAGCTTTAGTACTTGGAGATGTTTAGTTAAACCAGTGGCTTTGCCTTTTGTGAGTGAGGTTATGGCAGAAACACTTATAAAATCAAACCACCCTCTTCCCCCACCAAGTTGCAGATTATGTTGGTGCTCAGAAACCTTGCATTCGGAAAGCCTGAAAGCCAAAAGAAGAAAAACAGTCATTCTGGCAGAAGTCAAATTTTGCCTTGCCAGTTTTGACAATGTCTCTTAATAACACCAGAATGTTGAAGCAAGTATCTGTTGCAAGCTGATTTCAAAGTGATTTCTTCCAGACAGACCCCCGAGATTTAGAATTGTTCAATTGTACTTTCAAAGTGTCTGGTGCTGATTTCTTATGGCTTTTTATTTAATTTGTTTATAAATTGAATGCAGTAATAGCTCATTAGAAACGGAGCTCCAGTCCAGCTGTAATCCGAAACAGTGATAGGCATTGATTAGTAAAGGAAGCAGAGGGGCAGCTGGAGCCCAGCTTGCTTGTTACAGTGTCGGAGGTATTGGAACATGCCACGAGACGGTCACAGGTAGAATGTAGAACGGTGCCTTGGCCTGCCCCGGTCCAGACAGGAGACTGACCCAGCCAAGACTAGCCCCCGAGAAAATGGCTTTAACACATGGAGGCAAGGATTTGTGGAAGAGATTTGTCTCATGAGGACTTCTCTTTGTGTCAACAACAGCCAGGAACGTAGTGTTCTCAGGTCTTTGTCGCTTTTAAAACTTTAAGAAGCAGAAACGTGGTTTATAGGGTGCCCTCATCGGATGCGTGTTTAGGTTTCAATATAAAATGCACAGCAAAGAATGAGCATAACATGATCCTTGCAAGAGAAGGAAAGGACATGGAAAAGTCATTCGATAAGAAGATCTGCCAGATGACCATGGACGATTACGTTTGCCGGAGACATCGTGGTCATAACAGTCGGCTGAGAAAGGACTTGTGTGCATAATTTTCATTTCTAAAATGATTTAAGAGTGGTGTGGTTGAGAGTGTGATGAGAGAGATGGTTAATGTTTGCATAAGACATATATGCCTTAACAACATTTTTCAGACCATTTGACATATTTATATTATTGGCTATTTTTGCCAATTGTGTGGCCTTAGCTATTTACATCCCATTCCCTGAAGATGATTCTAATTCAACAAATCATAACTTGGTAAGTGCTAGAGTTCCTGCTTGTCCTGATGTGTGGTTATCATTTTCCTCTCTACTTAAACTGGCAGCTGGCTTTCTGGGTGGTTGAAGTTTACAGATACGCATGTGATGTTTCCTGGAGCTTTGCAGCAGTGGGTTTGTTTGTGTTGTTTTTTTTTCCTCTGACCTGTATTCTCAAATTTATACTGAATGAAAGTGTTTAAAGTCATGAATCTTGCATAAATAGATGTGGCACTTTTTTATGGAAGAGGTTTGTAGCAGATTTTAAAATAACTTTTCTCTCCATATAGGCTTTTGCTGTCTACCATTCTTTTCTGGATAATATTAGCTGCCTTTTTTTTTTTTTTTTTTTTTTAAATCCAGTGTTTATTTAGGAGTGGTGGGTATTTTGTTTGGTCAATTTCTCTGGTAAGTAGAGAATTATCATACATTTTGTACATGAACTATTCATTTTCAGAGCATCAGAATACAACAGAATTAATAGATCTACATGGAACATAATTTGGAGATTATAGTGTAGTATTCCACTAGGAGTATCCTATGAAGATCCATTTTATCCCAAGATAAAATGGTTTTAGGGTTAAATAAATTGGGATACTTCCACATACTTCATTGCCCTCTTAAAGATTTATAGTGCACATTAGCTCAGTAAGAGCTCTGGGAAGGTCTGTAGTTAAAAAACTAGTTTCATTTTGTTTAACTCAGCTAGTCCCTAAAAGTAATTGGTCATGGATTCTTCAAACAGTTTTTTGGCAGAACACATCATGAAACCAGTGTTTCATGAAACTTCCTTGGGGAAAGGTTGATATAGTTCAAAAAAAAAAAAAAGAAAGAAAGAAAAAAGAAAAAGAGCCCGAAAGAACACCAGAGTTGGGACTAGGAGCTTGTCCCACCGAGCTGGGACAACTAGCTGTGTTTTGGGGGGCATTTCCCAAATCCTTTCTGTGTTGCCATTCACCCACTTGTCAAAGGAGCTGGATAAGAAGATAACTTGGGATCGTGTTTACCTCTGACATTCTGTAATCTTTTCTTGATGATTCAGAAGCCATGTCAGGATTTTTCTGGAGTGTAGCATCCTCCTTGGGGGAGGCTGTGCAGAAAGGCAGGTGGAGCAGGGGGGCCAATGTTGGGTAACAGGGAGCTCTTTCTCTTGTTTTGCTCTCTCCTCATTTATTTTTTTATTTTTTCTAAAGATTGTATTTATCTATTTGACAGATAGAGACACAGTAAGAGAGGGAACGCAAGCAGGGGGAGTGGGAGAGGGAGAAGCAGGCTTCCCGCGGAGCAGGAAGCCCGATGCGGGGCTCGATCCCAGGACCCTGGGATCATGACCTGAGCCGAAGGCAGACGCTCAATGACTGAGCCACCCAGGTGCCCCTGCTCTCTCCTCTTTTAGCTAGATTCATCTGTTTCTGGTTTCCCATGTTGAAGCTGTATTTGAGCTAGGGTGGCTGTTTGTAACTAAGTGAGTGGTGTAAAGGCAGAACTGGTGTGTGTGTGTGTGGGGGGGCTCTGCTGGGTTCTGAAGATACTGAAGTTATGCTTTTGTGATTTTAGCCTCAATGGTTTATATACCGGATTTCATGTTACATATTGTGTAAAATGTTGTGGGATATGTCAGATAGAACATGATGTCCGTTCATATTTGGGCTTTTATAGTCTGATTTCTAGAGAATGTAAAAAAGTTTTGGGTATTGCTACTGAAAATATAACTCAATAGGAGTTGGATACACATATACACGTTTGCCATTAGTGTGGATTTATACTATGCTAGAGGTGATTTGTGTGCTTTGGGATATTTTAAACAGCTTCTGATTTGGTCGTGGACACGTGATATTAGATGATCATTTTAAAGGAAGAGCAGAAGTGGCGAAAAGCCCCCATCAATGGGGATGGATCAGCAGAGTCTAGACCACAGATGGTGTCAGCCTTGTTACCAAATTTAACAACATGGATGGTGACCCAGTTTGTTGCTTTTTGTAGCTCAAGAGAACATGATTAAACAAACTTAGAAAATAAATACCTTTCAGAAAGGCAGATTAATTCAGATCAATGGAATAATTAATGTAGCTGTGTGTGTAAGCCAATTAATATTCTGATTTTTCCCAGGGAAATTCAGGGCACTGATATCTGCCATCAGACCCAGTTTGGATTTCTCAGTTAATGAGTAAGGGAATAAAATATAGGAAATGGATAAATCTCTCTTCTCCCTTGCAATCCCTCCCTAGCGGATGCTTTCTTAACAATTCTTAAACAGTGGTATTTTAAGGGCGGGGAGGGAGGCAGTGTATTCGTTTGGCAGGCCTTTCTAAAAACCAACATATACTCCTTTGACCTCTCACTGTTCTGAAACTCATAGCATTTGAGTTTCTGTCTTGTTTCACTTGGATGGTCACGTGGCCAGAGGAGTTTATTCTCTGCTTGACTCTTTAAATATTTCCTTTCCCACTGTGGGAAGGGAAGATCTTTGTGGATTTCCCCCTCTTTGCAAGGTCCCATGGCATGTCAGTGCTCCCGCCAGGGAGCCAGGTTTTTTTTTTAATACATTTGACCCATTTTGTACCAAAGTGATTGCTCTATTTTGGGGATCGGTTTAGAGGCGGCCGAACGAAGCTTATTTTTCATCTGTAGTAAATACATTTCAGTTAACGTGAATGGCAAATCGAAGGGCACAGACCGATATGGGTTGCAAAGCTGCACGTGTCAGGGAGTTGGTGGTTTTCTTTGCTCCGTAGCTCTGTGGGAAATGTGTATGTTGAACCCTTAGAGCCTGCTTTGTTGCCAAGCTGTGTCTGCCTCTTACAGGTCATTTGTAGTGACGCGATTAGTTCTATCCGGTAAGAAAGGTGGCCATCCCCATCGGGCCAATGTGTGTTTGGTCTGGGTTGCTTGTAACTGAGCCAGCTTTGGGAATCTGGAGACTACCTTGGGGGCAGCAAGTTTTCCCAGGGTTAGGTTTTTTTTTTTTTTTAATAGTATCAAATTTCTATGCAGTTTCATTTGTGGACTTGCAGGGACTAGTGGAGGTTGAAGCCATGGAAACGGTACAACTGAGTTCCCACAGTGAGACCCTTCTTGGCTCAGTCTATAACACTAGCTCCTCAGTTCCACTTATTGCAAGTGTATATCATTTATTTAATTTCTTCTTAGCCCGGGGTGGGGAGCAGCGGGGAGCTCTGCTTTCCAGAGCATCAAAGGGGGGCTGCTTACAATCCTGTGCTTCACTGTTGAAGAACGCTCTATTTGGCTTCCCAGACTTCAGTGTCTCAGAGGTGGATGGATGCGGTTAAAGTTGTCTGTCCTGCCCGCTCCTGGTGCTCCCCGGCCCCAGGCTGAGTGCCGCTGTCTGTAGTGCCCAGTCGCCTCCAATTAGAACCATCCCACATCGGGGTGCTCATCTGCCAGTTTGGACCTCTCCTGATATCTGCAAATGACACCAGCCCCGGAGGGCGAGGCCTGTGGCCCAGGCCTCTCGACCCCTTTATCAGGCACAGTGGCTTCTACCAGGGGCTCCGGAAATCCTCCTTTAATTCAGCAGGAACTTTTATGGAGTCTTTGACCCCTTTCCCGCCCCCTTCCTCCTCTTGTCGTTGCAGCCTGTTTTTTTTTCTTTAGCCCGTTGACATTTTGCCCCTGCAGAACCCCGTGCATCTTCCTCCCCATCCACACCCCTGTAGTGTGGCCAGGTCCTCCTGGGCTGTCTGAGCTTTCTGAGTCCCTCCTTCCCAGCAGTGCCCCCCCCATTTGCCCACCCATAGTTCCTAAACACTCCTTCCGTGTTCTTGCCCACCTTCTAGCCTCTTCTCTGCCTGTAGTGTCTCTTCCACTCCGGCCCCTGGAGGAATTCAGGAACCGTCTCAAACTCTGTCTCTTCCACGAGGGCTTTTCCCACCCTGATCCGAAGGAACGCTCTTATCCAAACCTCTCTCGTGACCCTTCGCGTACAAAATACCCTATGTTTTAGTTCCTCATGTGCATGTCTTATCTCGATTTTACCAAGCATCTTCAGAATACAATTCTTAGTGAATCATTTTCAATCACTGGGGGGTACGAAGTAGCTGTTCAGTAAACACATGTTGTTGCTGTGACTGCCAGGAGAAGAGCCTCACCCCTTCTTTCCTCTGGGCTATATTCAGGATTTCCTTGGGTGGCAGGTCCCTCTGTGGACTCCTTGGAGGTCCTTAGCTGGGAGCTGGTGGGACGTTGTAAGCGCTTGTTCCTGAAAAGCTTCGGGTCTTGTGACTCTGCTTCTCGAACTCCTCTGGCTGAAGGAGCCCCGGGAGCAGGGTGTCAGAGCTGAGCCATCTAGCACATTTTGTGCTCGAAGTAGCCAAGGGGTGGGGGCGCCTCTTGGCAGTGGGACCATTGTAAGGTGTCTTACAATGGCCAGGAATGTTATGGGACAGAGTACTCTGCTTGCCTTCTCTCTTCCACAGCTGAGATCCCAATGCAAGGTGTTTCCTGGGCTTACAAAGTGAGCTCATTGGATCTGCTCGGTCCTATAGTTTGGCATCTCACAGTTTTTGCGCATAGGGGGACTTACTGAAACGGTTTCATAACTTGGTTCATTGGGCTTAGCCTATAAGGTGGGTTGTAGTCCTGTACCTTCCGCACAGTGTGTCTTTGCTCTGTTGTCTTTCGGTTTGAACTGTGAGCTCTTATTTCTGTCCGACTAGATTCTGTCTGTTCTAGGACACAGCTCCTGTGCTGCCCCCTCAGCTCAGCCTCCCCTGAGCCTCATCCACTTCTGCCTCCCATCCCACCTGCCTGAGTTTAAGTACTGGTTTTCCCTCTGCCCTCCTGTAAGCACGGTAAACTCTCCTCTTTATGTTCATTTGCCCTTTTCCGCCCCTTTTTATAACTGCTACGGGGAGTGGTTTGGTGGGTGGTGGTTCTGCACATGCGCTCTGGGGTCTTTGGCTCATTAGCTGAATGATTTTGGATGAAACCAGCATATGAGTTCCCGGAGACAGAGGCTGGTGTCTGATTAGTCTAGTTCCC